TTACTGGCTCTGCAGTCCCCATCCGGGTCTGGCAGGTGCACAGCAGGTCACAGCCAGGCAGCAGCCCCCACTGCCAGGCTGCTACAGTGGGTAAAGGGGGCAGGGAACTCTCAGGGCTGCTTCAGCAGGCCAGCTGGCACAAGGGGTAGTGTCCACAGGTACCAACTGGCTGGACCCCAGAAGCTCCTGAGAGCTGGTAGCCCTGAGCTACTTGCCAGGGCAGCTTTTTATACTGCTGGGGCCAGGACAGGGTAGCTTTTTATACTGCTGGGGACAGCACAGCTGCTGGCCCCGGGCTCTAGTTCCCCCTGGCTGAAGAGCCAGGGGCAGCCAGGCAGGGTTATTTTTCCCTAAGTGGCACAGTTTGCTCCATACCAAAGTGCGTATCTGAGCATGTGCACTGAGGCAAAAAGCCCCGGCTCAAATTTGTACCACTTCTATTTGAGCTGCTGCAAGTGCACGTGCTTGCATGTGTGGACGCATCTGCAGAGTGCATTGTTAACCCTTTAACACAGCTGCTATGGCATTGGCAGCAGTTTTTGATGGCTGTGAAAGAGTTAAACCTGGACTCTGCCCCTGCTTGCTTGCTGCCCAAGGGAGATGGGGAAGTAATTTTGCAGAATAGCCTCTTCATACTGCTTCTCTTCCATGATTTTATTTCAGTGAAGAAAAATAGTTTCCCCACTTAAGATAGTCTAATTCTGAAGGGCTGATTTTTGGGAAATAGGTGCTTATGGTATGCAGGTATATATGATGTGTTACTGTTTTTTGTTTTACATGGTGAGGGTTGAGATGGCTTCTATATTTTAAATCTTCTAGTGTAATAAATAATATAGCTTAATTTTTCATATGACTGTCTGCTTAAAAAAACTCGTCCTAAATTCTTTGCCTCTATTGCATATTATGGGGAGTGAGTTCCACAGCTTATATGTAGTTACACACAAAAAATAATTCAGAACTTTAGGAAATGCCAGAATTAAGGTTTCTTGCAGCTTAACTTCCATCCCTGCCTCCTCCTTTGTATGCACTATTATAGGGTGTGTGTAGATGACACAGGCGTTAATGTAGAGCACCTGAAAATTTTAACCCAGTTTTTTTTTGCTGAGGTACATTTGTGTTTGCATGACGTGGTGTTTGTATTTGCATGAATGGCTCTTTTGAGCGAGTTAAACCTCATGTGTCATTCCTCGCAGATTTCAGTAGAGGGAGTCAAATACCAGTTTACCCCCTATAATGTCTTTCCTAATCTATTATAGCAGGAGGTGCATGTAAACCACCTGGTCTCCCCAGTCCTCACTCCTGGGCTCTCACTGGGCAGTCCTGACTCACACTGGGAGTCTCCCTTGGGCACGGTCATGGTCACCCCAAAATCCTTGTCACTTGCACCCACCTATGCTTGGTCGGTCTAGTCTCTCTCCATCAGTATGTGATCCCAAAGACCCCATCCCAATGCCAAAGACAAGCTGCTTGAATCTTCCCCTCCTGTTCCTTTCCCTTCCCATCCCACCATGTTACAAATATATGTGTTTTTTCTTTTATTTACTTTAGCTGCTATGATATTCAGAGTAGCGGGTGGGTGGGTAGGTGGGTGTTTGTTGCCACCCAGTTGATTGGCGATTGCTGTTGATGTTGGTGGTGGTGGCAAGCTCTTCTGGATTTTTTCTCCTGGTTTTTTTTACTACATTTCCCAGCATTCCCAAGCTCATTGATCTTCATATAGTTTCCAATGGGGGCTCCCACTGGAACACTCCTGTTCCCTGCCCAGGTACACCATCAATCTGTTTGTGTAGTGCCACATACGGCTTTTGGAGGTGTGTTGTGAATTGTTTTAGAAATGTTTTCCGAATATTTTTGAAAATGTGGGTTGCTGGTTGGCTTGGTCCCCCACTCACTTAGCCTGCCAAGAGCTATAATAGTTAACCTTCTCACCCACGTGGGGGGGAGGGAGGGACTCATTCAGATGTGGCTGACAGTGCGTAATGCCCCCCTTCCCCAAACCAGTCACAGGGGTTTGCTGTTTCCAGACTAACCTAGTCCAGATTTCCTCCCCCTCCCCCTGACCATCTTCCCTTCTGCCCCCTGTCCGCGACACTGCATGACCCTGTAGACAGACACAGATTTAAAGTGTAAATAAATTTATTTTAACATAACCAAGAAAAAGAACAAAGCACTCCTAGGTGTTGTTGTCAGCAATATATCCTGCCAGACAATTGTACACAAGGGGTGCCTGACCAGCCCCTCCTTGAGGATATCTCCTCGGTCCTTGTGCTGCTGCTGCTGCCCAGACATGTCTCTGTTGTGTGGCCAGTGCCTGTCACACTTCCCACAACTCCAGGCAGGGCCAGTAACCAGGCTGGCTGCCTGCCTGCTCCTCTCCCTCTCGCCCTCCCACCACGCAGCCCCTCATCCATCCATATCATGTCAAGGGATTACTCAAGGGAC